CTCAGACAGTTACTGTAACTTACGTAAGTCTTCAATCCACCTACCGCTCTCTACCATGTTTAATCTTCGATCTGTATTCCGCAGACAGTGTCTTAATTTCAGTGCACGTTTTTGCCGCGTCTTCGACGTGTGTATGTGTGTGTTCACCATGACGATCTTCCAACAGATCTGGGCGAACTGATCGTGGCAGGTTCTATTAGTTTAATGCCCTGGTATCCGTATCGCTGTAGTAGTCGAAAGCGATACGTTTTTCATCGCATGGCTTTCGTTGCGCTGCCACAAATACCGTACATTTAACGACTGTACCGGTGCCGCCGTCTGTTTGCAAAACATTTTGAAAGTTTATTTTGATCGAGTCGTTTTTCAGGCGTAGTTACCTATTAGCCGTTGTTTTTTTTCTAATCATGATTTAGTCATCATTGGCAGTACTGCCTTTTGTTAATCGTATTTGAAGTTGAAAATTTAATTTTAATATCTCATCTTTAATTTCACCCAAAAAAATACGATTTGATGCTTTGTTCTTCTCGGTCTTCATTTGTTTCTCATTCGCCGCCTAGCTCTTCGTTCTGCTTTTAGTGTTTTAGCTTAGCAAGATTTTGCCATGTTGTTTCTTCCACATACAGTGTTTCCATCTTGTTCATTTTTCGATCACGCCGCACAGGTATTTACTGAATTTGTTAGCTGGCTGTTTTTTGTTAGAGCTATTTTTCGAACGTGTTTCGAATGCGGTCGTTTCTCTCACATTGCACTTCTGCCCGAACATCCATAATTCTACTTTGTTCAGTCGTTGCTTGTGCGTCTGCTTGTGCACAGTATGGCCCTGCAGTACTCACAGCCGTGCAGCAATACCGATCTACTTAATAACTTTTACATAATGTGCACGTTTTTGTCACGTTGCGCATTTTTCCGTTTTTGATTCGCCTCGCCGATCTTACCTTATCTTAAAGGAAAATACCCATTTAAATGTAAACTGACATTCGTACACCACACCATTGTGTCGATCAAGAACCGCTGTTTAGATCCATTTCAGTTTTTGTTTACCATGTAAATCTGAACTTCGCTGGTTCAACCTACAAAAGTTGACAAATATCCACTTAAATATATTTAATTTATTATCATTAATTTAATTTAATTTATTATCATTAATTATTTTTAATGAAATA